ATCACAGCCTTTCCCAATCTTGATGCACCATGAGACCATGGAAGGCCACAAAGTTAAATCTTTATTTCTGTAGCAAGAATGAAAAGTAATGAGGGAAAGGATTAAGCTGCTGAAAGGCATCTGGTTTCGCTGCATGAAGGCACAGCTCAGCCACGTACTGCTTTTGCAAGTGTGGGGGGAGCAGCGCTTCCCCTGCCAACTTTTTGGCAGGCCCCCTGCCCACAAGGTTGTGTGACCTGTTGCCAGTCTTTATGTATTCATCCTATAGCAACATTTATTACTAATAGACCCTGGGTGCATGCTGAGGAGCTCTTTTACAGGCTATTATCTCCCTTTCTGTTGGAAGCTGAGCTTTGTTGCTCTGCTAACCAGCACAGCAGCTGAGTGAACAAAACATAATGTTCATGAATTATTGCAGGCAACATCCATGTCCTCCCCAGTGGTATGTGGCAGGGTCATCTGCTCTTCACTATTCTGGTCTACCCAAGAAATCTCTTTCAGTGTCTATTTTTGACTTAGTATTTTTGTTTTACATTGAGTGCAGTGGTGACACATTGGTTATTTGACCATAATTCAGTATATTAAACCAGCCATAACTAGGAACATTGCTCTCTGCATAGCCTTGAGTGCTGAAGCAAAACTCACCTGGCCTGAATGGGTGTTTTTCCAACAAAACGGGCTCCAGGTTTTTTGGCTAAGACGTTTGTGAGCATTTTGCAGTCCTGGTTCACTGGGAATTGATTTTAGATCTATAATTCCCACAAATGCCTGTGCTGCTGCCAAATTTCAGCAGTGGTGGGATGAGCGTGCTCCGGGGTGCCCATCGGCAGCGCCACGCTCCCACAGTTGTGCTGGGAATGCTGCGGGGCTCAAGCAGAAGATCCCGTCGCTGCCGTGGGAGGTCAGAGATGGCACGTGCTAGCTCTGGCTCTGGATTTCCCCCTGGCACTACAGATTTGTTCCTTGTACTATGTTTTCTAATTCTCTGGCCATTCTGGGTTTAAAGGCCTTGGAAAAGCTTCTCTTAAGAGTGATTTTGCATCACTTGATAATTCTTGATAAATTAGGCAGTTCTCAAACTGAGATTTCATTTATAATGTGGTAGCCACTGTGAAAACGGTGCAAGCTACAGTCCCAGCCTTAGAAAACTGTCAGCCTAATAATTTTTTTATTTTGAAGATGCTATAAAATTAATCTCCCACAGCCTCCTTCTGGCTACTGCTGCCCCATATATCCCTGGCAGGAAATTTTGTCCCCAGTATCAGAAGCAACTGGTGAGGCTCAGGGATATTTGACCCACACGGTGTCCCCTACCTGGGGGCATATTGCTGCATCCTCATATTGTCGTGTCCAGTGTGCCCCCCTCTCCTGTGATCGTGCACAGATTTCCTCATCAGTGTCTGACAGGACGAGGAAATGGTAGCTAACAGTCTAAGCAATGTAAGCGTGTGTCTGCATTTCTTCTACCCTGATGTGGGCGATATTGATCGGTCCGTTAATGTAAATGTCTCAGCTGTTGTATGTTGCTTTTCTTCCTTATTAATCAAAATAATGCAAAATGAGGGGAAAGCAATTTTTTAGGGGGAAAAAAAAATACAGTCAACAGCGATTGAATACAGCCTGCTGGAATGTGTTGGGGCTGTCTGCCACCCGCCAGACATGAGGATACCCACACTAACTGGGGAAAAAGTTGAAACGCTTTATTTTGACATTTTGTATACAGAATGTTTGGATTTTTTGTCTCCAAGCAGTGTTTTGAAGGAAGATTTGCCTAAATCTGGGTTTTTTTGGTTTAGAAAAACACAGCCAAATGTTTTGTTTGTATCTACTGACACATTTCAGTCAACTGCGAATGTCTTTTTTGGATGTGCAGGTTTTTGTCTTGCCTGGAAAACAAAATGGAAAGAAGCAACTTTAGTTTGCAGGCACCTTGAAGTTATTTCTGCTACCTCCAGTTGGGGAGAACTCCCTGTAGCCATCAGCAGACACAAAACACTGAGACATATACATAATATCCAGGATGCAAATACTCCCACTGAACCAATTCACAGGTTGGAAATAGAGCTGGTGCTTAAGTGCCTTGGTGGATTGAGGCTTTAGCAATAACAAATAGCACTAAGGAGCAAAAATGATCAATTAAAGAACTCCTAATGAATCCAAATGTCAGCGTCCCTGAGTTGGGAAGGCCAAAAACTGAGAGGCAGATTAGAGAAGGTGTGAAATCCCCTTGTTTGGTGTTTCTCACTATGTGGTAGCCACTGCTCTGTGCTGTTTGTATTTCCCAGGGTTTTGTGGTAAAGCTGAAGAGAAGGAAATTACTTGAGACACTATTGCCGCTCCTGTTCATTTCTATTACCCAAACAGTAGGGAGAATCCAGATTTTTTTCATTTATGTTCCATGCACAGAATTTAAAAAAAAAAAAAAAAAAAATAATCAGGATGTATCAAACCTTGGAAATACTCATTTGTTTTCTGACACTGCTGAGAGATTTTGCTATGCAGCCTGGCATTGTGTGAGAACATAATGCATGTAGTAAAGGTGAACAACTCTTGAGGATGTCCCCACTGATGCCAAGTGGCCCATATGCTGTCATAAACACTTTTCCTTCATTTCTTTCATGCTGAATGCAAGAGCTCATTTTGCGTAGATCACATTAGGCTCATTCATTACCTGCTGTGCTGGTCTGTGCATCTGCAGTGCAGCATCTCTGCACTGAGCGTTGGACTACATCCCTGCATGCTTTCTGATATTCCAAATTGTCTGTTGTGGGTATACACATCTTCTCCTGTGTGCATCCTGGAACAGCACAGCAATAAAAACTGCTCTTAAAGGTGGCTGACCTTTGGGGGAATATGGTTGTTGATAGCTGATATTAGGCTTTATATATATCATCAGGAAAAATTCCTGAAAACGGACATTTGTAGCAAAACTATCACCCCTTGTAGCAGAAAAGAAAGAAACTGCCTGGCATATTATTCTCTATGAGTAAATTTAAAATCTGATGAGAAGCACCGGTGTGCCACACTAGTGAAATTTTACAGTACCACTGCTAACTTTAATCTTCACTTTTATTTTTCTTGAAAGTCTTCCTTTGTCCTAAAGCGAAATTTCAGGCCTAAGGCTACTGAAGACCATCTTTAAACTTGCCTTGTGATTTTGAGCAATAAATCATGAGAGCAGTGATGTTCAGATGATACATTGCACTAATACATCACAAGAGCACTATCGCTCTCATGATATATTAGTATAATACACTATCAGAACACTATCACTGATGTATTACTCAAAAACACAGTTTTTAACCCTCAAGAATCAGCCTCATCTCTAGGCTGAATACACTGAAAGCTGTGGATAATAGTAAGAATAAGCAATCACATATTTGTTTTTTCTAGGGTAAGCTGTGGGGAAAAAAAAAAAAAAGTGGTATTCGGCATATTTCATTAACTGAAACATCCTTGTGATTTCATTTTATTCACTAAGCAAATGTTATTATGGATTGAAGCTAACACAATATAGGTGTGTTTGAATTTTCTTACAAATAGCCTAAGAAAATTCTTTTGGATTTTGGATTTCATTATAGACATTTTGAGAATGTTTCAACGAGGTGCATGAATTTCAGCTGATTTCCACCTCATCAAATTGAGTTAGGTGCAAGCTCTCTAAACACTATGTAAAGCATAGTGATGCAGTCTTTTTTTGGTTTGAAAGGATTTAGGCACCATCTGAAAAGATCTGGAGATGCATAAATGTCATCTGTCACTCAGATCATTTTCTGCCTCTCCTCAACGAGCTGTTTGTTTGGATTTTTTTCCTGAAGAATCATTCTCAGTTGTGGGGTTTTTCTCGAAAGAGAGTGAAGGAGAAAAGGGAAAAGATAAAAGAATGCTTTGCAATGTTGTAGCTGAACTCACTGCAGAAAAGCAGATAGATGAACATTTGATTTCCTAGTAGAGTTTGAGTCTTGAGAATCTTGAATTACTGTTCCTATGCGGTATGAAGAGACTGTCAGTCTCTTAATAGAAAAAAAAAAAAAACCCAAAAACAAACAGTAATAATACAACATCATGTTGACAATGTGGCAAGTCATATACCTGCTTTCTTGCCCACATTTTTGTTCCTTTTCCACATATCTCATCAGCATTTGTGACAGAAATACATTGCTCGTCACTCCCTCCTATGCCAGGTAGCCCAAAGGTCCCCCTGCAGCTTATGGTCCTCAGCAGTGCTACCCGCCGAGCGATGGCCCAACCATCGGGAGGGTGACACTTCTGCTTCAGGCTCTGTGAAACTGGGCTCATAATTCTTGTGCCTTGCATGTTTGGGACCACTTGGTGCACTGGAGCCCATGTCCCTGTGGGCATGTGCCCCCAGCAGGCACCTCATACCGCTGGGGGCTTCAGTCTGTTTGGGCTACAACCTCCTGGGAGGAAAAGCAAAACATCAAAGTCTTTTTAGCCCTGTGAAAGACATTGTATTATCCGTTCTGTACAGCCTGGTGAGTGTCCTTTTCTGACAGCCTTTCTACCTGCATGGTCTCCGTTGTGTACCATCAGTTCCTCTATGCCCCGGCCTGTGCAACGCAGCACTGAGCCTGGGGCTGCCCACGCCTGCTACAGCCATGTCCCATCACAGGCACCTTCTTATTCTTGTCAATTTTGAAGTCACAACATGCAGCTCCAAGGTACATTGTCTTTTCAAAGCTGTGGCTAAATACATCTCTGACTGACAACTATGAATAATTCCGCAGAGCCCCTAAAGTTCCAGGCATTTCACTCTGAAGCTCATATAATACAGCAGAGCTGCTCTCTCATGTTTTTCATCTTTTATATTCTCCAAAGAGTTGAGATACAGTTATAGAACAGGTTAATATATTTTCCTCTGAAAATAATGCTGTGGGAGCCCGTGCATGGTTACTTGTATGTGTTGAGAATAATGCTTACAATCCAGAAAAGAAAATCATGAGCTTGATAATCACCATTATTTTGTTTCACATTTTCAGCACGTTCATGTCCATGTCCTTCCAAGGCGGGCCGGAGACTTCAGCAGGAATGACGATGTCTACGAGGAGGTAAGGTCTGAAATCCATTTGTTGTTCAGAGTTGGTTTTGCTGTTAGAAAATCACCTTAATGATACACGACCTGCCCTGAGTGGAGGTGGTTAATGGGATCTCTGCATCTTCACTGGGTGCGAAGACCCTGTGATAGCACCAAGACCTATACTGGGATTTCCTTGTGAGCTTTGGGTCAAGCTGTGGTCACACAGTGTCTCGAGGGAGACATCTTTGGTGCCTCAGTCTGTCACCGCACACAGAACGAGGTGACATCTCTACCAATAGTTATATCCTCTTATTTTGAGGGCACAGGGAAAAAGAGTGACCACATGGTTAGCCTGGCATGCAAGGAGCAGGTCCAACCCAACTGCTAGCCTGAGGTGCCAAACCTGCCTTTTCCAACAAAGGAAAACACAGGCGGCTCATTACAACTCAATCGCAAATTGCCTTCTGTCCTGCTTTTTGTAGGACTCTGCTCGGGCTCTGGACAATCACATTGTAGCCCCAAAGATGAAATTAAAGAGCAACTATGCATATAGATGTAATATATGCATGTGTGCAGAGTGTACAGCAAAGCTGGGCACATTAGCTGTTTCAGTGTGACTGATTTACTGGCTTTTGTTTAAATGAACAATTATACTCGCATTAAAAAGAAGTTTTCCCCAGCTTGACAGTTGTCACAATGAGTTAATGAAAAAAAAATCTCACTATTGTTAGATTTACGGATGGTTTTTAGCGGGTGTGGTAGGATCCTCTATCTCAAATCTGACATCTCTTTCTGAAAGTAATTAATATAAACTTGTTCGATGCTACTGCAATACCACCTGCTTGAAGGAGAATTAATGACGTTTTCTGCTTTTGTATTTTTTTCATTTGTGATATATACATGATGACAAAAAAAAAAAAAAAAAAAAAAAAAGGTAGTTCATTTTAAAGTTTACTAATGACTTAAATATGCAAAAGTGGTGAAAAACATTTATTATTGACCAGTTACATGAAGTGTAGAGACTGAGAACCTCACTAATAAGGGTAAAACCTCCTAACGACACCGTTGAGCAAGATGAAATGAAAATCCATGCAGGCCATCTTATACGCTGCTGTAGTTAAGTGAGGCAACTTGAAAGTTAACACCAAGGGGTTTATTGGAACAGGCTGCCCAGGGAAGAGTTGAGTCACTGTCCGTGGAGGTATTTAAAAGATGTGTAGGTGTGGCACTTAGGGACATGGTTTAGTGGTGGACTTGGTAATGCTAGCTTCACGATTGGACTCGATGATCTTAAAGGTCTTTTCCAACCTAAATGATTCTATGATTTTTCCCTTTTCAAATATGTTAAGTAGTTTTAGGTGCTGCACCAACCCACAAACACTGTTTCCATTTCTGTCATATTTACAATTTCATTTCCTTCTTTTAACACATTTATTTCTCTCTTGTTATACGTAAATACAAACAGGCAAAACTCTGTTAATGAACTAGGGTATACACTTAATGTTGTTAAATGCAAAAGGCTGACAAATTGGTGAAAAATATTTTTATCTTGTAATTTTCAATTATGGCAATTGTAGGTGTTGCTTTTAGCAGACATAGGAAGCAAAAATAATTAGATATGGATGTGATAATGTGTAGCAGAAGAATGTATAGCCTCAGAGTCTACCCAGCTATTCTTGAATACCACAGAACTAACTTATGCTTTTGTACAGACTGTAGCTGAACAACGATTTCATTTTTTTTTTCAGATGCTAAGGGGAAAAACCCCACATTTGATGCTATAAAATGTTTGATGCAAAGTTCTATTTCTGGATGGAGGATGGAGGGTTTTAAGCAGTATGCTATCATAAGTGGATAAACCTATTTTGGAAAATACAAAATAGACAAATTATTGAAAATACAGTTGACTTTGGAAATCATTTGGAGTTTATGTCAGTAAGGCAAAAATCTTTTGATATAATGCATCTCTGTGTTGTACCAACTAGACAAATCCCTTTGTCAGGAAGATCTTTTAAAAGGAATTTAGGAAGATATGTAGATCATGGTGGGGCAACAGGCTGAAAACCTATGAGGGATAGAGTACCATTAGGTGAGATGTAGGTGCTGCAAAGAGCTTTAAATCCATCGTCCATGAAATTTACTTAGGACAGTCCACAACCTGTTTATAAACAATGCTTTGTTCCCATGTATTTGAGTGATAGATGGAGTTGTAGTTTAGGCAGCAAAGACCACCTTTCAAAACCATCCCAACAGCCTTTTCCTTGTAGTATGTGATGTGGAGGCTGGTCAGCCTCCTTAAACAATTTGTGTAATTGTAAAGCACACTCAGGCTAAATTTTGCATATTGTGGTGACTGGTTTAACTACTGCAGCTAAAGGTTTTACAGCTACTGGGTGTGATTTTCACCGATTCTGGATCTCAGCTCTGGTTCAACGCATCTCTTGCAAACCCCTATCTATCTGTAAATGCCTTGGAGCTCTCCAGGCTCTGCAGTTGTCATCTGTATATGCTCAGCAGATTGCTGACAAATCCCATTGCTCTGTGAGTGTTTGACAGTGAAAGGAATGTCCAGATGTTGAGACATCCGTCCTCTTAGGAGACTTCTAGAGTTAAGACAGCTAGAAAGTACTTGCAGTCTCTTACCATGTGCTTTATTTCTCCCATTTGGTTTGGGAGTGACCACTCATCTGATTGAAAAGACAGAAAGAAAGCATATCAGGTTGATCCCTGCTTAGTGTGTTTGCTGGGCTCTGGTATTTTCAGTCTTTTGGCTGTGAAGCTCTAACATAGCCTCATCTAAAGCAACTTTTAAGTGTAAAGAATATACTTAAAGGTAAGGTGTATCTTTGCCACTTGGTTTTTAATAAGGTTGCTGATGGATACTACTGTCAGCTGATTTCTGGGTATATATTTAGAACCTCAATACTGGAACATTAATTGTAGAAGGGATCAAAGAGGGGCTGACACCTATTTCACCGCATCTTCTCTAAGGCATTTCTTGGTGGAATGTGTCACTTAATATTTTAGGATTCTGTACCTCAGTGCATATGAAAGAAGTCACTGATTTTTCTAAGGTACAGAGAGAATGATTAATAATTAAAAAAAAAATCTGCTTTGAATGTTTTAAAAGTATTTCCTCTGCGTCTTTGCAGGGCTATTTTTTGGGAGGGTATTTCCCAGGAAGTATTAGCTATCCACACTCTGGTCTCAGTGTAGTGGAAAGCTAAAGGCATAGTTTTTCAGTTCTTACATTTTTCTTCAATTATGTGAAGCTTAATCCTGCAGGTGTTCACATGTCAGAGTTAAATTAGTCTTACAGGGTTTTTTATAGGATCATGTTTTACTATTCCTGCATTACTTTTCTTGGGTAGTCTTTATTCACTGATTCACTTTATTTCTTGGACAGCAAAACTATAGCAGCTAAATATTAGGAAAACGTTTTGTTAGAATACCTCTTTATTCCTCTATGTTTTCTGTTCAGTTTGAAATAGATTAATATTTTTACATTTATTAATCAAGGAACGTAAAGGCCTTCGTATCAAGCAACTGCTATTGTAAGGGCATGTCACAGTAACTAAGATAAGAATTTGGTATGAATGAACATCTTTATTGTAGGACAGCACCCTGTGTTGTTACAGTCAGCACAAGTACTGCAGAGTTGTTGGAGGTCATCGTGTCCAAGGTGTTCAAGAGCATTATCCTGAAATGTCTCAGCAGTTTCATACACTCAGCCATCTGTGGGCAGTCCTCATTCAGTGTGAGTTTGAAAAGTCCATAGCACAGCCTGTCCCTGGTCTCCACTGAGTGGTTAGCCATTACTGCAATATAAATAACATTCATCATCCTTTAGGCTGGCAGGTAATAGCCGTACTGGGCCAGAGAATATGGAGCTTTCTCAGAAAGGAAGACTGAATCAAAAGTCCTCAATACCGCTGTTATGAGTACTGACCTCAGTAAGTTAATTTTGAGGCTGACAGACTCAGATGGGTAAGGGCAGCCTGGCCTTTCAGTGAAACCCTGAGCATTCCTGCCCTACAGTGATGTGGTTTGTGGTTCACACCCCTGTTCCTCCCCAAATTGTGTGTTTCGCTGGGTGGTTGCAGCCTGCTGTAACAGATGCAGCTGCAGTGGCGATGCACATCCAGGGCAATGTGTGCAGGGCAAAGAGTGCCCGTCCCTTCCCCAGCTTTGCTTTCGTGCCCGACTCATTTCCTCGCCTGTCAAGTTCCCAGCCTAGACTGGAGAGCACTGAAAATACTGTAAAAGGAGGAAACATGAACGAGAGAGGTTAACCCAAACCCCTGTGTCTCCATCCCCTGGCTGCCTGCCAGACCTTCATCATGGACCTCTTGTAATGAGCCTGGGTGAAACTTCTTAATGTGAATTGTTCAGTAACTTAAAAGATTTTGTAAAACCCAGAATCCAGCAAAAGAATTTGCTTCATGCTGTCCTCCTTCCCCTCTGGCATTCAGGCAAGCAGTGAAGGAGTCACTTAGGAAAAGATATTTTGACTTAGTGATCTCATTCAACACATTATGTTAAATCATTTCAGCAAGAATACCTATTAGTAATCATTTCCAGTTCCAGGGAGGATGAAGGAGGCATTTTGGCATGTGACTAAAGAACCTGCTGGGCTGCTTCTTCAGACTGGCAAAACAGAGAAACCGTGGTGAATTCAGAAGTTTAGTTAAACAAGCCTGAAGTTTAATTCTGTATGAGTGGCTTTGACTGTGACATGCCTTCACTCCGACCTGCAGACAGCATCTCCCGTGCTGCTGGGCACAGAGCCTGGTGCAGGGCTCGAAACATGCACAGCTGCACTGAACTGTTGGGGCTGCTTCCTACTTAAAGATAAGGTATATAATGAAAAGATAAATAAGCCCTAATCCAGGTCCTGCTAGATGAAATGGAAAGATGCCCAACAGCTTCTGTGAGCACTGGATTGAACTATTCATGAAAATTAATGGCATGCAGAGCTAATAGGCTGTTCCTTGGCCTCAGAATTATATTGCACCTTCTGGGAACATATTG